GCTATAGCTGTGTAACTTCGCTATATTAACGTTATCATGGATATGCGTCGAGCGCGAGCGTAGTGGTGGTGGTGGGGGGAGGGGCGGGTGGAGGGGGCTCTAATAGCAAAAGCAGTTCAGTCCTTTGTTAACAGCCAACAAATCCATGTTTAACCCTCTTCTTGAGGGTCAAAAGGTTATCAGACACTTACTCTTTGCACGTCAGCAGAAAGTAGATTTCATGGTCCTTTCAATAAAGTGATAAAAACGGTAGGTCAGTGCTGAAACAAAAAAGTTTGGCACTCGGTCCGTTAGACCATGTCCTCAGAAAATGTCTGACCTTCCCCCCCTGCCCTTTGGCCTGTGACCTCCAATTTCGCGCTGGTGATGGGTTTCCTCCCTATCACACTATACATCGAATATTAAGAGCGTAGGTTGAGCCGTTGAGATTTCTGCCGCAATTCCGTATTTCCTCCTACACCTTAAGTTAAGGGGAAATATTCCCCCTCCATCGACACAGCTAGACCTTTGACCCTTGACCCCCAAATTCAACATCCCGAGTCCTTTTCGCCATCCCCCCCCCCAGACGTCCCGAATATCAAGACCGTACGTGGAGCAGTTAAGATTTGTGCCCAACTGTTGACGGACGGACGCACGGACAATCATGCGATTCTACAAGTGCATCTGACTTCGTCAGCTGAGCTAATAAATACAAAAATAAATTACAAAATATAAATGATAGTGACAGAGATATACATATCACCTTATCATATTTATTCGGCACGTACACCGGCCTAGAAAAATAAGTATAATAGTATTAATTTTATGCTTGAATATAATATGTTACACATATTTATGTTACTTTTCATAGAATATTATACTTAAATCACATGTAAAAATCAATTACCATCCATCACTTAGAAAACTAAAATATAACTACCTAACAACAACATATAGGTAACAAGATATTACAACCACGATTTTCATCCTAGTGCACTCTATAACGTGGATGTTCTCATCCATATATTACATGTACACCCACATTTCTACTTTAAGATGGAAATTCAGCCTAAATCAAGTCACTATGAAATGGTGCGGTGGGTTCACAAGTGTAGAAATTTACGAGCCATTGTTTTACGTACAGTACGCAATTACTTCTCCAATAGTTGCTCCTGCACCACTTGCGACTGTCATTATTATTCCTCATTGCACAAAAAAGTCATGATACTCCTTTCTACCCTCTATCGATGAATAACGGGGATTTGTAATAAATCTTACATACCCTTAGACACACTTCACTGGTATCAACATAAACCGATATAACTGTGAATAGTTACAGACAGTGCGCTATCACACCTTCACGTTGGTCCAATATAGCTTATGATCTATCCACAGAGATTCCAAGACAAAAACGTCACCTCTAAACAAGCACAGGTCGTGGGTAGATACACTCTCAAAAGTCTCAATGCATTTTCGCATCACTTTGCACTATTCATGTACTCAGAATGTGAGTGAATAGCATCGATCAGTGTCTTCACACGTTCGGGATCCATGTCTGGGTAGATGCCATGGCCGAGGTTGGCTATGTACCGCTGAGTGCCAAACTTCTCTAGCATTGCCTTCACGAGTGCGACTAGCTCTACCTGGCAACAAAAAAAATGTAACAAATATATGGCCTTTACTAAAGCTGATTGTTTCTTAGGGACCTGAATAAAACAGCATTGATGCTGTTACATCCGTTATAGTCTCATGAATCTGTGACTGAACAGTCATACCGCAAGTGCCCACCCTGCAATCACGTTTGTGATAGTCATATGTTTACCATAGGATTGTGATGCAGGCAGATATTCATTTAGATTGTTCACCTCGTTCAGACCCAGTGTTATGGGTGATTAGGTCTTTGTTTGCATAGCCATGTGATAATTCTTGTGGTGTTTTTATCGCAACATACATAAGTATTTTCAATGGTTGGTCATTACATTAACAAATGTTCCTTTGGATGTGTGCTTCGTTATTTACTAGCATTTCACATCTATAAGTCCATGCATGGTCTTCTCAATGATATGTAACAGCATCAAAGAATGAAAGTGTCAATTAACACTGTAGCTCACCTTGGGTGTGATAGAAGAGGGAGGGGGGATATATAAAGCAAGAGTATATATGGGAGAACTCCCATTATATACTCTTGATAATAATATATGCATAAGTTTTGATGCGAAAATATATGTTTCAGATCTGAAAGTCTGAAATCTTGACGAGAGATGGCGCTATGCCTAAATGATCGCCATTTTGGTTTTCGAATATCGCGCAAATAAAAACAATAAAATATTCCCAGGGGCGGATTCAGACCGTATTTGCCGTATTGGGAAATACGGTCTAGATTTCAAAGTGCCCTTCAAAATTTTGCGCTCACTGTGGGGTGGTGTGCCCTTTTTGGGAGATGTGCCCTTTAAATCTGGAAAAATACTGTCTAGCCTCAGCCTTGGAACCGGCCCCGATTCTAGTCAAATTACTGTAACGAAGAATCTAAAACACAATATTACACGTATATAGGTATGATTGTAGAGTTGTTGACCAGTTAGACGAAATAAACGTAATAGGACATTGCTCTCCCATATAGGTGTAACAACTGTTTTGGGGCTAGCCTTACACATTCACATACCAAAATTTAACAAAATCGAATGAATTTAGATGGCCATTTTCATTTTTGCCAAAAAGTGGGCGTGGCTCGAAAGTAGGTCGACTGGCGTGCTCCAAAATAGGAAGTTCAAATCTCTCCCATAGGAGTAACAACTGTATTAAATTTGAAACATGTGGGTCAAACGGTTCTTGAATTGTCGTTGACCGTAGGCAGAGACTGAAATGCATAGTGAAATTGCCAAAATCTACCTAATTAAAAAACAAACAAACCTGTGTGATATGTTTTGGGGCCAGTCCTCATTCATTCACATACCAGAAATGAGCAAAACCCATTGAACCTGAACTGACTTGTGGCCATTTCCATTTTTGCCAAAAAGTGGGCGTGGCTCGAAAGTAGGTCGACTGGCATGCTCCAAAATAGGAAGTTCAAATCGCTCCCATAAGAGTAACTGTATTCAATTTGAAACATGTGGGTCAAACGGTTCTTGAGTTATCGTTGGCCGTAGGCAAATGTTGACAGACGGACAGACGGACGGACGGACAGACGACGGACGACACCCCATGGCAATAGCTCATCTTGACGATGCATAGCTAAAAATGAAAATGTCAATGACACTGTAGCTCACCACAAAAAAAAGACACAAATGAGTGAGTGAGAAGAAGTCAGTTTTAATTGAGCAACCATCGATGTACATTATAGAAACGAAGAGTATAAATGGGAGAACTCCCATTATATACTCTTGATAATTATGTGTAATGTTTTTATGTGAAAATAATAAATAATATATATATAAATTATAAATAATTTATAAACCAAAATGAATCACAATTTGTGACGGTAGATGGCGCTATACCCGCTTGATGTTTCTTAGCATAAATCGATCATTATATCATAATAATAATAATATAATGAATAATAATATAATCATAATATGTTCATAGCAGGGATTTTGCATTAAAGATATTGTCAATGAAATCTTGTAAAACGAACCAGACGAGTGTGACACCACAGACTGTTTGTTATCTGCGTGTCTATATATAATATGCTATATAATTGCCAAACACTAACTAATTTGCATTATTTTTTTTTAAATATCAAAACCCTAGCCCTTATTCTTCACATACCAAAAATGAGAAAAATCCGTTGAACCTGAACTGACTAATGGCAATTTCCATTTTTGCCAAAAAATTGCCGTGGCTCGAAAGTACGTAGACTAGCGTGCTTCAAAATAGGACGTTTAATATGGGAGCATAGCAGTAACAACACTACTCAATTTCAAACATGTGGGTCAAACGGTTCCTGAGTTATCGTTGACCGTAGCCAAATGTTGACGGACGGACGAACGGACGGATGGACGGACGGACAGACGGACGGACGACAGACGACAACCCATGGCAATAGCTCAGCTTGACGATGTCAAGGTGAGCTAATGAATCAAATATTAACAACCACGTTGATTTCGTAATCAATATGCCAGCAACTATGTGACTCCTGCTGAGTTAAACACCAACAAAATGCAGTTATCATTGATCGGAACAACATGTGTACAACACAGCAACAATTCAATCCCACATAACGATTAACAATTGCTGAGGATTTTACCTCTGGGGCATACAATGCGCATGGGTCCAGGTTTCCCTGCAGAGTAACATTTGCTCCTGTTCTAGCTCTGAAACACACCAGATCAATATTAAAATGCTATTCCATGTAGAGGCATTTATCAATGTATAAATGTCAATGTGTAAATGTCAATCGCTATAGATCTCATGAAATTGAGGTCAAAGTCATCATTTACTGACCGACTGGGTAACCGCAATTACTCGCAACTCAACCGAAAAGCAAACCCACGTTATTTTATGCCTACTCTGCAGGTATAAAACAGCTGGATGTTAATTATGTCTGCAAATCAGGGCATATTGATTGCCACATAATTCACGCTCATAATTCTATTGTAGATTAGGTTAACCCCTACAACCGAGCACATGTATATAATATATGAAACCAGTATACCTTGCATGCTGTGGCCTAAGAGTCCAGTCCAATCCTACCACTTCATACCCAGACTGTGATAGGTCCTCCAAACCGAAATGTGCATCCTTTGCGAATATAATCTGAACGCGAGTAAAGAGAGAGTTATGCCATTTATTAAAACGCACTTTAATAAAGATGTTTCTGCATCAATGATCTAGCCTCCCAATTTGACTTGATTAAAAGTTGATTACACTTCTAAATCATTGTGTCTTTAACGCAGAGACGATCACATACGTGTATGTCACTTGTTTTAGCAAGTGCAGCCATTTTATGGAACTAACTCTTCACTCACCATCGGAACAGTATCGAGTTTCCTGCTGGATAGCTTTTCCTTCACACCTCTCGAGATCTGACGAATGTAGGGGAGACTGAACTTGGCGAACAGACCTGGCCCCAGGATGCCGGCGTGGGATTCGAAAACTTGCAGCATCTGAAGCAGAATGTAGTTATGCCCATACACACTTTGATCTTTAAAACTTGTAATTCTTTAAAATAATCCACATGCCTCGCTAACTCACCGAGTCATCAGCACATTGCAGCTATGTTTTACGCCAATTAAATTTTTAATATGCTTGTGTTCTATAGTGTAAAAATGTGCTGCCAAATAAAATACCTCAACTACAAATAAGTTTTATATAAATAGCATCACTACCGCACATTCGTGATTAGAAAATTTGCGATGCTCCTGATATAACGATCCAAGTTCGTGAAGTCGACAAAAATTCGATTATAATGTACCTGCGCGCCAGCTTGCATTTGACCGACGAGATAATCAATGCATACATCTGTGATCAACTGAAGTAGTTTGTGGCTCTCTGCTGGATATCTGTACAGCCACGACTTTGCCTTAGACATGGTGGTCGAGCCACCTCCTTCGATCATATAAGACATGAGCGTCCACTGATATAACAGAACAATAATTTTAAAAAGTTGTATTGTATGCATTTTTATTTCATTGATTTTTTCAAGCCAAGACTTAATAATTATTAATTCAGTAATTATATTTAATTTAATTTAATTCAATAATGAAATAAAATTTAGTTAATTGATTGGTTAATTATTAATTAATTATAATTTCATTTAGTTGCATTTAATTTTCTCACAATTATAGCATGTTTTAACATGTGACCAATTTTGAAAAGACGACCCCCTCTCCACACTGTGAACATGCCAATCACTGTAATTTCAACTAGATAAACAAATATTCCTTACTGGTGCCCCTGTGAAGCCAATAAGGGGAACACGACCCTCCAGCCTGTGTCTGGTGAGTGTTATAGCATCGAATACATATCCCAACTCTTGGGACACATTAACAGGTTTGTTTAACCTGCCTATGTCATCAGGAGTATTTAGTGGCTCTGGAAAGTGTGGTCCCTGCAAATAGAACAGTTTGCTTGTTGACTGATGTTTGGTTAACTCGATTGAGATGTCCTGATCTTAAATTTGCCAAAATTTCAAGATCACACATATAGGCAGTCAGTAAAACAAACACAACCACTCCACATATAGAAAAAAGACAGTAGGGTATACTATAGTGATTATTTAGAAAGCCATCATCCATAACAAAAACAAGCAATGTATAAAATCTGGGCTCTAGTAATTTCACATCGATACTTAACAGTAAAAACAGGAATGTGACACAAATTAAGCACATTTCAATATAAAATGTTTAATATAAAAATGTGATGCCAAAAGCTAGAGTTATGTTTGTTACTCTTATTAAACCCACAGACCTTTCCTGGCAGCATCTCAACAACCATTCCCATAGCTTGAGGCACAACCAATATATCAGAGAAGATGATTGCTGCATCTAGGTCGAACCGCTCAATTGGCTGAAACAACATGGTAGAGTACGCAGTTAGTCAATTTAATGAGTTCAATGCATTGGAGTCGACTAATTGTACCATAGCCAAACAATGTTAAAAAATATATTGACTCGCTTTGTGTCAAACAATAGAGACTGGGTAATGCTCTATGCAGTTGCAATAGAATAATGTGCAATTATAAGTAACAGTGGTTAAGCCTTCTAAACTCATTCGGCAAAGCGATAGGTTTAAATGAGAGCAACGTTACCTGTAATGTCACTTTACAAGCTAATACAGGTGTTCTGCATATGGTGAAGAAATCGTGCTCAGCTCTCGTTTCTCTGAATTCTTCACCGGAAATGCGTGAAAATCCAGTTCCATTCACACGTGTTTAAAACATTCTCAAGAGTACAGTCAACATTAGTCTGAATATCATAAAACAATTGGTAAAATAAACTTCATTTAATTATATGACGATGCTGTAGTCTATATCTAGCGACGAGCAATAATCATATGGCCGCTTAAAGTGATTACGTCACTGTAAATAGTAAAAGTAAAAAAACGATGTCCATTTTTTCAAAAATGCAAGTGATTCTGTTCACTTTTTATGGTTAAATTGCTGCATTATAATTCCCATTTTTCAATTTCGTTCGATGTGAACAAACACTCGTGACTCATACATAGCCCATAGCAAGCATATAATGTCGTGATCAATATATCAAATCGCCCAGGTTTTTTGGATTTTAAAACTAGTTGAGAAACAATCTTATTTTATCAGGTAAGAATTTAAGGATACATTTAGTCCCATTAGTACTTACTTTTCATTTAAAAAAATTGGAACAAAATTTTTACAAACATACACCAGAAAATTCGTGACGTAGTCAATTTAAAGGAATAATATGTCCATTGATTATGCAATGTTGACAAATGCTAGAGTAACTGGCACCTTGTGTAGTTAATAAGTACATTACCTTATAGCCAAACGCGTATTAGTTTGTCCAATATCATTGCTGGTTACTAAGAAATGTCTAATTGAAATCCGCAGTCCAAGAAATCAGTTGACCGAGTTGTTTACAGTTTCAAACTGCTGCCAGCGAAGCGGGTGTGATACAGATTTATAGTGCACCGGACATTTTCGCACGCATGCTCGGCCGTACGCAATGCTATCATCAGTGATTTCATAAAGACGGACGCTCGTGATAAGAAACTTTTTGTCAGGGCTGTCCATGTGCGTCCGTGATTAGTACGTGTGTTTTACTCCATTTTCATGCTTATAACTAGTCCGTGGCCGTGGTTACACAGCTGACATCTCCATTTCATCTGGCGTCCAAAACATACGGGCCGCACAAATGTTTACGTTATCGGCGACTTATCGCTTGACTCCTGGATGACATTTACGGCACGTAAATGAATATCAACAACCGATTTCAAGTCTTGCTTGTATAAGGTTACGTACTTATTAACTACACAAGGTGCCAGTTACTCTAGCATTCGTCAACATTGCATAATCAATGGGCTTATTATGCCTTTAAGTCTAATATATGCTGAAATTAATATGTTTTATACCAGGCAAATAGCGACCCGCCTGCCGCATCACCCACACTGGCACTCGCTCTGTCTTCTCGCCTCTTGCAGCACGGAGAGCAAGATCATTTTTCATTTCTGGAAATTCCTACAAGAGCAAGTGCAATGCCAATGCAATATCATGTGTAACAACGAGGTACCTCTTCCCCATGGCTGCGTGAAACAGTGAGTCGTAGAGCCTTGTCAGGCTCACAGGCACTTGGACTATATCAATAATAAAATGCTAGTAAATCTACACGAAATGTATTTACTACCAAAGTCTTACAGCCGCACAATGCACATCCAAACGCTAATTTCTCCAGTACTAGACTAGCAAATACTTCGTGTCATGCATAATCACACTACCTTATGACAAACTAAACTCTAGTTCCTCCCGTTTCACTGCGCGTTGTCTTATAAAAGGTATTTGAAAATACACCCAATGTTGTTAAAATTCTCCGATTGTTGTTGACAGTTTCCCCAAGCAACCGTGCAGCGGTGCTGCGGTACAGCGGTACAGGTGTAGCAAAGATAAAAACATGTGACGTCACCTCACCACTTCGAGGCTAAATTGTTTGGCAAACAGTCGGCGTTTGCGCCAGAATGCCAGTTTTCTCACCTCTTTGTTGTGGGTTTTAAGCAAACTCGCAGTGAAATGGGAGCAACTAGAGTTTATTTTGTCATAAGGTAGTGTGATTATGCATGACACGAAGTATTTGCTAGTCTAGTACTGGAGAAATTAGCGTTTGGATGCGCATTGTGCGGCTTTAATGTTTCTTTACTCTTTCGCCTACCAGTACTGATAATTTCCCGTAAACGTTGTTCAAATGCTCCTCTGCAACACAGAAGTAGTAGTACTAGTACACTGCATGCACGCCGCTGTGCACAAACAATAAAAAAATAAATTATATTTTTATAGCGTACTCTATAGTTTTATTGTTTGTGCACAGTGGTATGCCTGCAGTGTACTTCTGTGTTGCAGTACCAGAGGAGCATTTGGATGGTATTTGCAGGATATTATCAGTAATACTAATAGGCTAAAGAGACCTAGAGAGTATAGTGCTAGCACTATAGTAGATAAACATTTAGTACAAACAGTATAGTATAGCGATGATGTCAAGTTTGAGAAATGGTTGAGAGTGAGACTCAGCGTTGAGCGGAACGAGGGAGCGAAGAGATGGGGGGGGGAAGCTTTTCGAAATTTGAGGTTTGAAATGGTGCAATTTAGTGCATACCTATGGTATGATTAATTGCGTTTATAAATATAAGTTCTTACTCATTTTGAATGATTAGAAGTATTGGGAAATATGAATTGAATTTTTTTTGACTCAGCATGTGTGCTGAGAATTGAAAAGTAAACAAAATACCTCAGTAACCTGCAAAGCCATCATCCAGGCAAGATACTGGATTCCAAGCAGGCAAATAAAATGTGCGCCGCGCACGCGTGATGGCCGCGCCGCTTATAGCGTATACGTATTATACGTATACAGCCGGAGTGAGCTATAGCTAGCTGGGCGGCCGCGGAGCGGTGCTGTTGATCGGGCCTTAGCCTTCCGATACTAGTATACAGTATACTGGTATCTGGGACTGAAAATAGGGGGTTTTAATTATTTATTTATTGATTTTGATTTTGATTTTTGCGTGAGAAATTCAGAGATGAGCGTGATCGAGAGCATGAGAATTGACCAAAATGCGTGAGTCTCACGCTCAATGCGTGAGACTTGACATGTCTACATTAGGCCTGTACCGGTGTATTTGGATGCTCGCCCCAAACTGGACGCTCCTAAGTGCGCATGCGCGCAGGCGCCTCTTGTTTTGCAAGGGCGCACACAGCGCATGCGCAATATGCGCATTAGTCATCTGCGCATCTTGTCCTTCGACACGGTCGCAATAAACAAACATGGCGGACTTCCCTGTCACTGATGGAAACATTTGATTGAAACAATTTGCAATATGTAGTAAATTAGTAAGACTGTGTTATGTGTGTCACTGTCAGGTTACAAGGCGAAACAAAAGAAAACAAAAGAGCATGTCTACTATTTCCTACGGCCGTGCAAAACAATTAGATTCAAACAAAAAGAAAACAAGAGCAAAACAAAAGAGCATGCCTACGGAGCGTCCAAATACTACGAGCTTCCAAATACGGTACCGGTACAGGCCTACGTATACATTAGAGCTGATAGGGTCTATGTCCCCCGGAGTACTGCCGGAACGTACCCTCGACCACTATATTATATGCCGGACCGTACCTAGCCTATTCCACTAACGAGTCTAGGGAGTCGCCTACGCCTACTCCCTAACCCGAACCCGAACCCTAAACCTAACCCTAACCCTAATCCTAACCCTAACCATATCAAATAGTGACCAGGGTACGTTCTGGTATACCGGACCGTACCCAGGGTACGTTCCGGCAGTACCCTGGGGGACATAGACCCTATGAGCTACAGTAGAGGACATTACTCGATCGTTATAGGCTTTAGCCTAGGCTTTAGTCTAGCTGAGAGGGTCTATGTCCCCCGGGGTACTGCCGGAACGTACCCTGGGTACGGTTTGGTATACCGGAACGTACCAGATTTAGATTTCGATTTTGATTTCGTTTTGAATTTGATTTTTATTTTAATTTTTAATTTTTTGCTTTTATTTATTTCAGAGGTAAAATTGTAGTGGCAGCCCTCGGCCAACATAGTAGTGTCAATGATGAGAGTAATTAATTATCAAGTTTTTTTGGGATTTGCGCCTAGAAAACCTGTTCCTTCGACGTGTAAAGAAGAAAAATGTAACTGGTCGCATTTTTTAGGGTTAGCGTGCACATCTCTAATTGTTACTACAAAACGTATACACCGCATTTACGCTTGGCCTCTCACACGTACACAGTTGGTGATTACATCTTCTATATTATAAGAACGTAGGGCCGTTTTTGTGACGCGTACGATCTTAGTTTTGAAGCATTGAAAATAGTCGTTTCTGTCACGGACAGTTACATGGATATGTTTTTCATGGTTTAGTGTAGTTTTCGGAATGAAACGTTCACGAACTCTCGGAAACAAGTCAAATGTTGCTAGACATAGTTAACTTACTTCCCTGTATTATAAGTTCGTAGGGCCGTTCTGCATGAAAACATGCGTTCATTCACAGAATGCCATTAGTGCCTTCAGACGCAGGACTCCCATTTCAGTTCTGCCGTCTACAGTTCCCAATCCGTCCTAATTTCGTTACGACTATTACCAAAGCCCAAGGCATGACATTCAAAAACATTGTTTTAATAGCATCATTCTTGGCATTCTTAATGCAGAACTGTCACTCGTTGGCATATATTCCCACATATAAATTCTATATCCAGATAAGAAAGTCAAAAATGTTGTCTGCAAAGAAATTATACGTTAGCTATCTCAAATACATCCATTATTCATCCCGACTTGGCGCAATTTCATAACAGTATACCTGTCACGTATTTCATTTAATACAAATAAAATTATTATATACGATTATACGGCAGATACCTATTGTCCAGTCGTGCCTTTCTTCATTCAAGAATGCCAATTTACGTCTATCGCTATCTGTTGCTATCATACACGCACTGGCAGGCAACATTTCTCCTTTCCTCCGAATTTGCATTTGTTGACTATCGCCTAGATCTGTTACAACAACCCAGCATCCGTCCATTGGATGGGTACGTTGCGAATACTAAATATTCTCATTGGGGAGGATATATAGCATATACATATATATGATATAAAATTATTGTATATGTTGCTGTGACCTTCTGTGGAACAGACCTGTTGCCGCGTTCGTCATTGTATACTAGTTTGTTCGGGCGATGTGGTTATATAACTGAGGGGGACACAATATGTGACAAATGGTAGAATGCATGATTGGCTTTCCATGATTGTCACAAGGACGAAGGTGGCTAGACTCTGCGTTTACCTCTCCACACCCAACCGTATCCTCCTCCTACATCCCCACCATTCTGCACCTCTTCCGCACATTCTGCCTCCTCTCCTATATTCGCTAGTTCTATCGCCACTACAACCGCCTCCTCCTTATCTACTTCTTCCTCCTCAACCCCTACCTCATCCCTTCTACCCTACTTCCTAACACTAGATTTGCTGCTGTGCTCTGGTCATTAAGTATGTAAATTGGACATAATATTATTTCTCATACCAGATAGAAGGCATGAGCGCACATACCTCGGATTCTATCAGATAGGCTGCAATATCAGAATTTTCGTGGAGTGAGCCAGCTAGGGCTTTTTTGCTATTGATAAAGAGCGTCACTAGGACGTTTTTCATACCAGTCTATTCGGGAATATGTCCTCATTTTAAATGCATAGTTTCAAAATTATATTGAATTTCTAGTAGCTAGTGAGCAGGTGCAAACAGACAGAGTAACGAGAATTTAGGAATATCGGACACTGGTTACATCGGTTACAGCCATTACGAAATCTCATACTCTCTGCGTCTACCTCTCCACACTCATCTCTTTCCTCTTCCTATATACCTAACCGTCTGCACCTCTTCCACGCATTCCGTCTGTCTCATTTACCATTTTCGCTGGGTGTACCACCACTATGCCCATCTCATTCTACTCATCCTCTTTCTCTTCTTCTTCCTCCTCAGCCTCCACCCTCATTCCTTCTATTCTACTTCTAATCTAAGCTAAGAGCTCTTTATTCTTGTTGTTTGTGCGTGACGCGTTCGTCCGATGTTGCAGATGAGCATCTGAACGGCATTCACAGGACAGGGCCGTTGTCAGGGATTGACTAATATTGAAGCCCAGTCACGAGGGCGCGAAGCGCCGTAAAGGGGGAAAGAGTGCGTGTGAGGGGGTTTCCCCCTCCCCCTGGTGGGGATCCGGGGGGCCTCCGCAAACATGTTTGAAATGCTACATGGAAAAGGATGTACGCTGGCAAGTTTTAAAATGAAATTTTAACATTTGAAACACAGTAAAAAGTACATTGCAACTGTTTAATTCCACAATTTAAAAAAAGAAGAGAGGGAAATGATATTGAAGCCCGAGTTTCCGGGCCTCCGCCTGGCGACGTGCCTGCAGGAAATTATTCCCAATAATAAGCGAAAGCGAGTAGGGAAACATTAAGACTTAGGTAGTAAA